AAAAAATGATGGTGCAGAATTAGAACGAATGAAAGGTCTGAATGACGGAAAAACTTGATGTGATAAACAAAGAATTGCCACTTAGCACTTTTAGGAAATTCAAAAAATACTACTTTTTTATTTTTCAGTCGCATGTTATAGTTTCAAATAGTATTCGTTATTTATGTACATATAAATTGGGATTTACGAATGATATCTATTGTACAACAATAGTTGATTCATTTTAGTCGAACTTTCAATAATGCGGAGCTATCCTAAGGCAGAATCTTTTGGAACAGTGAACACATTTTATCGCATTGTTTACTTACTGAAATATGCTTTTTATCCAGATTGTAAGACTATTCGACGACGCTTTTGAAAAAAAAAGATTAGACAGATGATGAAGAGAAAATATGGTGAATAATTTAAGACGTGAGCTTGTAGTTCATACAGTCTCTTTTTTCTCTTCTTCACATTTTTTTCGGATACTTTTTCTCTTCTTCATATTCATAGAAAATAATTATTCGTAGTTATTTTTCTTGAGAAATAAATACAAAACTGGGGAAGAGAACAGAGAAACAAAATAATGTGAAAGTATAACAGTAACCAATCGTTTTCAACTACATCGAAAAAAGTAAACAAAGAAAACAAAAAAAAATCCTTTTTCTCTCTATCGACAACAACAATCTCTGTTGTTTTCTCAGAAAATACTTTCACCTGGCCACCAGGCGTGATCAGTATCGAACGCATTTCTATAATAAATGTGGAAACATCGGATTGAAATCCGAATGTTATGTGTACTTCAAAAAGTGAACTAGATAGATGAGCCAATCTAGCATGTGAAGACATCAAAATTACCCTAGCAAACGCTTCTTATTAAAACTTAATTTCTATTTGTTACTGCTCAACCAATAGGATTTCGAGGCAAATGGAGCTCAGATTCGAGTTCTCCAACCCAGAAAACTTCTAAGTATCATCTCTGTGATTAGAAAATGCAGTTTTAATTTTCGATCAACTAGAGCGTGGACAAAAACAACCAATTTTCGTATAAGTATCTTTGCAATAGATGACTTGGCCTTCTTGTTTCTTAATGTTTTATATACCATTTTATAGCTCGTGAAATTCTCTATCGAATGACATATAATAACTGGAGTTTTGTTTGATTATGAGAGGAAAAGTTTTTTCACGAAAACCGGGATAGGTCAATGTTCGCATAGGAAAGTATAGAAAATAATTACTTTTTTTGCGATAACTCAGCAATGGCTCGACGAATCATTTTCATCTTCGAACTCGACCGAGATATCGATGAGACGATGGGGTGTGGGTGTGGGTGTCGATGTGAGTGTCGAGAGAAGACAAACACCCACACTCACATCCACACCGACACCCACACCGACACCCACACCGACACCGACACCTACACCCACACCCACACCCACCCACACCCACACACCCGCCACCACCCGGTGGCGGTGGTTGTGGGATCCTATCTTCAATGAGAACCACACCCACACTCCACACACCCACACCCACACCACACACCACACACACACCCACACCACACACACACCCACACCCCACACACACCTACACCCCACACCCGCACCCACACCCACACCCACACCCCACCCGCACCCACACCCACACAAAACCTAGCTGGTGGCAGTGGCAACACGGCAGATTTATCAAGTTCACATGGTATTCATTCATGCGTGTAAGTGTGAGCGTACTCTGTTCGTGCATGGCGAAACGGCCGCCCGCCATCCACTACCAGGAACGGTTTTCTGGTCGTACACACGCGCGAATATCTAATATATTCATTGGTGAATCCGGAATATCGATTTTTTTGTTCGATGCAAATCATTGTCAACCACACAACAAATAAACATCATTAATGTGTTGCCTGTTCGATATTAAATTTTTGTACTCGATGATTGTTGTTGTCGACGACATAGAGATTGCCATGTCGATCGAATGATAAACCACAGGGATAATACAATTGATTCGACTCTCCTCCCCAACTGTTTCCACCAGCAATGACACTTCCCTGTGTGGCTCCTTTTGGCCAACGCATTATTCGATGATTGCCCCAATCAGCAACATAGACAGTGCCCAATTGATCAGCAACAATCCCTTGAGGATAATTCAATAGTGTAAAACTATCTTCTTGTCCTTGACCACCAGCTACAACAATGCCTTCTTTTGCACGTTCTTTCCATTTCGTCACACGATTATTTCCTAAATCAGACACATACACTGAATGATCTCGATCGACGAATACGTAATGTGGATTAGAGAGTTGATCGAGGCGATTCCCTTGTCCATTGGCACCTGCAACCAATGTTCCTTGAGATTCTCCTCTTCGATATCGTCTCACTTCATATTTTCCATTGTCCGTAACATAGAGAGATCCATTCTCGTCCATTGTCAAACTCACACAATAGATTTTGGAGATGATCGTTTCTCCACTTGTCCCATTTCGACGAGGCCATCGAACCACTCTTGCATTTGAACGATCGCAGATGATGAGACTATCTTTCTCTTTATCGATAATCACATCGAATGGGTTATACAACTGATGAGCTTTATTTCCTTGTCCATTTCCACCGGCAACCACTTGACCGCTCCTCGCATCCCATTTCCATTGCACAATACGGTGATTCGATTGATCAGCGACATAGATAGTTTCATTATCATCAACATACAAACCCAATGGGTAAGAGAGCTGCTCGATTCCGTTGCCTTGTCCATTTACTCCAGCCACAGTGAGACCATTCTGTTGCCATCGAGCATTCGGATGAATATCAACAGCAGATGCTCGTATTGGCACTTAAAATAGAGGAAAATAAGTGTCAAAGTAAGAGATAGAACAAAGATTTAAAAGAGGGGTGATTTTGTCCGGAAGGGTGAATAAATAGGAGTGAGACATGATGTGACTGAATTCTACAAAATTGGTATACATAAAGTACTAACTTGAATCCTTAGAATTTGAGGATGTGAGAGTGAACGATGACTATCATATTTTAGAAATATTGTTTTATTTTCGTTTCTTTTGTTTCATCGTAATAGTCTGCCACCGGATCCTTCCTCCCTTCCTTTGTTCTTTTGGTTGGTAGTGCATTTTTTGTTTCTTTGCCTCGGTGATTATCCATCCAACAAAGTTATGAATTCTCTATAAGTTTATTTCCATTCAAATTCTTTGCTGAACAAGAAGAGAAATGATCAGTGAGGAGAAGTGACAGAGAGCAGATAACCAGCGTGGATGTCAATGGAAAGCCCATTCCCTTCCCTCTTGAGTTAGGAAAAAAACTATTTCTTCTTAGCATTTTTTCTTTTTCTTATGAACCACTATTAATTAGAAAAAAATGAAATTGACTTTTTATGTAGCTCTTGAAAACATGCAATATTGTTCCCTCGATAGATAGAGTTATATATATATATATATATATATGGACGATTGGTAATCCCATTGTACGGTTGCAATTGATGACGTGTATTCGCAATAAGTCTTGTTCCCATTAACCGATTTGAATAATTCTTTTTTGTTTTGATCCACTATTTAACGCTCACTACCAGATAAAGAATCAAATTTTTATTGTTGGTACGTAGTTGTCAAACGATTGATACTATACACGGCTCAAAATTCTAATTTTTCGCTCCATCTATAGATTAAAAACGGCATTTTTATCATCATCGACTCCTACTTTTAATTTAATTTGTGTACCCCTTTGTAGAGGCGCATACTCTAAATTTTCACAAAATGTATGTGATCTGTTGTAACATTGCATTTCGTCTATAGATTTTAATGATCTTTAACCCGTGAGTACCATTGCTCAATCAATAGACAAAATTTCTTTTAGATTTTATATTTAATATGGCCAGTGTATATTGTGGATGTTTTCATCAAAACTTTTTCAAAATCTTAAAAATCATCGTCGATCCATGCCCGTACTTTCCCACGAGGGTGTGGTTGTGGATGTGAGTGTGGATGGGGGTGGGGTGCGACTATGAGAGAAGAGAGAAATACACCTACACTCACACCCACATCCACACTCACACCCACATCCACACTCACACCCACACTCACACCCACACCCACACATCGAAAAGAGCTTTTAAGTGTGCCATTATGTAGGGTATCTATGGTAGTATATACCCACAAAATTGCATGATTAAAAACATTATTGTTGAAGAATGGCGAAATATACAATGCATAAGTACTGCATTGATTATCCTCACTTTTTACCTGAGTGTGCCTTTCTTGTATATTCAATATCTGAATAAGGAAACGAGTTTCGAAGCTAAAATTTTTCGCGTTTTTCACATCTCACTTGGGGTTACATACAGGCAAAGTTTCGTTGAACTCAGTGACATCGATTGAGTAAGGTTGATTGTGGCTCTTGTGCAATGGTTTTTAGACACTCGCAATTTAGAAAAAATCTAGAGACTCAAAATATCCCCCTTTACAATCTATTGAAAAAATGAAACTGCTCATTCCTTAAAACATCGGAGAAAATCTGACTGACCCATACAACATGAAGACAAAACCTAATTGTTGGGAAAAATAAAACGAAGACTTTGTCGTATAATCCGTGAGACTCGCTTTTATCATAGTACATTTTTGATTGGCTAGCCAGTTTCAATGAACCACAGGTGAACAAACTGATCAAAAATTAATGCTATGATGGTTCGTTCTTTGAGGATTGAAAATAAAATTCCACAAAAATCATTGAAAATGTCGAATATATGACTTTTGTGATTTGAGACCACACTTTAAGTGCGCAATCACAAAAAACTTCAGAAAAAAGAATTTTAAGGAAGTTTCTCCGCTATCGATTGCAGATCTCAAATATAAAAACTCAAAACTCTATTATTTCCAGGAGACGAGAGTTTTTCAAAACTCTCTTGAAAACCGCCAAGAGCTGCAGTGATTCCAGATTCGAACGCTTGATGTATCCTTATCTCCTCCTGATTGTGCAAAAATCATTTACTGCTAGGTGTGTCTATTCTAGAACTAGAATTAGCATGATTTTTTTCACCTATCATATCGTTTGAAATAAAATGTAATCATCAACGCTTTTTAAGAAATTAATCATTTGCATTAACATTACGCCAAAAAGTTACTGATAATTACCAATGTTTTTTCAAAGGATGCGATATACAACGATAAAACTCTACAAAATAAGCATGTACATATTTCGTCGAGGGTTAAATTAATCGACTCGGTGGCAATAACATTAAAAATGTTCGTATATTGGAAGTAGATTTGCACCAGTGTCAGCTAACTGGGTTCTAGTCGGTTTGGGTACCCAAACCGACTAGGTACCAAACGGACTGGGGCCCAGTCGCTTTTGGAACTGGATGCATTTATAATTGAAAGCTGAACTAATCAGTATACGATGAAGTGTGTGTTCAGAGATATTCACGAAAATTAATGAGAGTTTAATAAAAAAAATCAATAATTATGGACTCTAACGGTAATATTAGTTTATTATTAGCGCTCGCTAATTTTCTTTGGATAAAAAGTTAGAAACGTATGATGGTTGCGTTAGAATTATAACTGTTCACATTATGTTTTTGTTTAGGTTTCTATATTTATCAGACAAGACTCATCATATAATCGATTGATAAATATTACCTGGCTTTGCTGTGCTTTTTATAACGGTTTTTACGTAGAGACCAATAGTAATTGTAAGAGCTACTGTCAATAATACAATAATAATATCAGCAACTGCTAAGAAGATCGTACGTTTTGATCTACGAATAGCACTAATAGATGCATTTATTCGAATGGATTCAAGAAATGATAAATATTCACACAGGAATCATATGAATACTATATCATCACCTGTTTATCCGTTTTGATCCCTATTGTCTCCTGTCATTCATTACCAGTATTTCTGGAACCTCCCCGTTTTTTCAGGTCAACATTTGGCGATCTCTCCTCTCTCCAAATGGCTGTGAAACCAAACTTTTTCTACAGCTGATTATAAAAATGTTAGCAGAGTTTTTAAAGGAAATTGGCCCCGAATTCAAGAATGTTGATGCTTAAACCGCATATTTTATCCAGATATAACAAGTAACGCTCGTCGCTGCGACTTGCTTAATCCTCGACTGAAGTCGATCTAATCACTGTCTCTCACAATTCGCTGGATTCTGTTCTGAGAACTGTGCTGGATAGACGTGCACATATGCACAAATTGCTAGTGACGACTATTTTATAAGAAGATCGAGTCTTTAAATTTTCTGTTAAAATTTTTGTATAAGTACGTAAAGCACAGGTTGAAGCCGATATCGTCGCCTCGGAAGAAGCGAAACGGGCATTTTGTCGTTTAAACTGTAATGTATTATTCAAAGTCACCGTTTATCACATCTAAACGCCATTTTGATGCAGAAAATAGCTGGAAAATGACGCTAAAAAACGCTTCTAAACGATTTTGTATGTCTGATTCATATAAAAGCGTTTAGAAGCGTTTTTTAGCGTCATCTTCCAGCTATTTTCTGCATCAAAACGGCGTTTAGGTGAGGTATGTTCAGATTTCCGAAAAAGGAAATTATAGAAATTTTCAAGGACACATAAAATCACACAAAAGTTGTTTTGAAAATTTGGAAGGTTAAAGAAATTTCGAAAATTTCACAAATTACGGAAATTTTCGAAAGTGCAAGCTATGGAAATTTTGGAAACTTCAGAAATTACCAAATTTTTCGAAGTAATGAAGCTTTTAGAGGTATCATTTTCAAAATTTCTGAAATTCCCGTGATTTGCTTTTTTCCAAGTCTGAACACTGCTGATTTCTTTCCCTAAAAGAATTTGGCGACACAATCAAAACGTTTTTCCTACTCTAATTCCATGTCTCTTGGTTACAGAGGTAGAACTAAAGTATTTGTACTTGCACTTTTTGTACTTTTCAAGTAATAAGTATTTAACTTGTACTTGCTGTACTTATAGTCGTCCGGGCTGTGCTTCGTTATACGAAGGTAAAATTGCCAGAAAATCAGGGCTCGAAAGCTCATTGCTACCAATAGTTGCAGCAATTGCCTCCCCTAAAAAACGTGTCTGCGCCTTCTACGGACGAACACTGATTCATGTTTGACTTATTTCTAAAAACACAGTTATAATAGAAGAAGTCTCGACAGAAATTTCTGAAAAGAGCAGATTTTTGTTGTGAGCTATACTTAATACCATTGTTTTCTCGATCTTCCTATAAAAATTGCGTTAGATTTGAATTCTTTATTAACGGAACCTTGATGAAGAGTTCCCAAAAGACATGCTAGATTTTAAACCGATCTATTCTCAAGCATAGCTGCAGTTGACGTCAGAAATGAGTGGCTAGTCGTTCGTCGGCTCCCCTCTGAGGCGCCACTCACGGCTAGCCACTACTATGTTGAAATCTATTTTCACATGAGTTCGTTCCCTCGTATTCA